TCACAAATCATGAGGAATTATGTCATATAAATATATCCCTGAGCTAGGCAGGAATAAATCAAAATTTTGGCAGACTCAATAAGAAAACAATGAAACTGACGAACATTCACCTGTCTAAATCCAACAGTCTCCATGTATTCTGCACATGGACAGAACACACACGGGCAGCAGTGGAGACTCAGTGAGCACCTGCCTAGCCACTATGTTCCTTATGCTGTACCTGTGGCAAAATTAACTGTATTGGCCTATAGTCATTACACATAATGTTGGATTTTATAAAAGCAATCTTCTTTCAAGATTATGTTACATAACCATGTGTATACCTAGTACTGATGAGATTTTATGTAAAATTGGCACAAACTGGAATCATCTGTAAGAGACAAACCTCAATTGAGAAAATGCCTTAATACTACTGGGTATTGGGCAAGCCTGTAGGGCATTTTCTTAGTTTGTAATTGATGGGTGAAGATCCAGTGTGTTTTAGGCGATGCAGCCATTGATGGTGACCCTGGATTCCTCAACAAAGCAACCCGAGCAAGTCATCAGGAGGATTCCAGTAAGCAGCACTCCTCCATGGCCTCTGCTCAGCTTTTGCTTCTGGGTATATTTTTTGTTTGGATCCCAGCCCTGACTTCCTTCAGTCATGGACTGTTACCTGGAAGTGTAAGAAGAATAAAATTTCCCATCCTTTTATGTTGCTTTTCTTCATGATATTTTACAATAGCCATAGTAATCCTAAATAAGACACACCCATTACTGTCCTCTTTCTCTCTGTTCCATGTATCATTTACCTCATTTCCTTCTCTCATTAAATTCTACTTCTACACTTCTACCGCAATTGTGTTCATGTTTATATAATTATATTTAAACTATAAGATTTATGGGGGGGGGGGAGGATCCAAGATGGCAGTGCTGGGAGGACACTCTTTCTGACCTGCAGCACAATAGGATCTGCACAGTGACCAGCAGACAGAACCCTCGGTCTTAAAACAGTTTTTCCCAGGTGAGAGGATAGCCCATGGTGTGGGATTCAATCAGCTTCAACTCACCGAGCTAAACCATGAAAGAGGTCCTGGTTCCACCAGGCGCTCGGTCACCAGCCCAGAGTCACATGCTCTGATCACTGTCAAAGACTGAACTGTGGGCCCCACAATATGAGAGACTGGTATTTCCAGTCGAGAGAAAATCCCGCAGTGCAGGAAATGATTGGGACCGACATTAAGTCACCCAGACAATCCCTGGAAAAGTGCAGCAGGTGCGCAGCAGCCAGCCCATACATAGCCTGGGACACAGGCGCCAAAACAAAGTCTGGCCTTTGTGCCTGACTAACAGCCCCAGATAGAACTGTGGCCCAGAGGGATCCAAAGACTGAATTTCTCTATTGGGTGACCTACAGAGAGAGGAACAGCAGGTTTGACCTTAGAATATTCACCCGACACCACCACTCCCCGGAAAAGTTTTCAGGAAAAGTTACAGATTCTTCAGAAGCCCAGATGTCCAATTGTCAGCAAGGTGGAGCCACACACGCCTGTGCCTGTGGGTTCTACTCACCATCCAGAAAGAATTGTAGTCCCCAAAGCACAGTCTGGGTGTCCCTACCAGGAGGAAACCCCATATGGGAGGGATCATCAGGTCCAACTCTCAGGACATCCAGCACCAGAAGACTTTCTGGGTTCACTCAGGCTCTAGGCTCTAGCCTTTTACTGCAAGCAAGAGTGCCTTACTCACCTGCCATTGATTACTGATAGGGTACCGGGGCATACAGCTGTACCCTCAGACCTATAAAAGCCTGAGACCCATTAGAGCAGCCCTCAGATACTGGTCTAATGTGCCACTTGTTATCCCTAGCTAAACTGACAAAACTGTGGGAATCCCTGGTTCTTCAAGAAGGGTGCACCCAAAAAATACACCTTAAGAACAGCAGCTGCAGCTCACTAAACTCAGAGCAAAAAACTCAGCAGCAGGGAAGCCATCTCCAGGACATCTCCTGATGAGAACAGAGCCTTCCTGAACACCACAGTTACCACACAGGTCCATGTGCCTGAAGTGAACTGTGACAATTCCTGAGAAGAATCACCATTCAGTTGACCACACCCAAAAAGCAGAGGAGATCTTCTTCAGAACCCTGCCAACGGGATTATCCCCATCCCAGGACCCAGCAGGCACCAGAAATTAACAGACAGCAACTGAGATAGCCAGATGGGTTGAGGCCAATGTAAAAATGCAACCAACAAAAGGCAAAGCAATATGTACAACCACTTTGAAAAATCAATCTGGCAATTTCTCAGACAATTAGGAATAGTGCTTCTTCAAGATCCAGCTATACCACCCTTAGGCATATAGCCAAAAGATGCTCAAGTACACAATAAGGAATTTGCTCAACCATGTTTGTAGCAGCTTTATTTGAAATAGCCAGAAGTTGGAAACAGCCCAGATGCCCCTCAGTTGAGGAATGGATACAGAAATTGTGGTACATCTACAAAATGGAATATTATTCAACAATAAAAAAACAAGGAAATTATGAAATTTGCAGGTAAATGGTGGGACTTGGAAAAGATCATCCTAAGTGAGGTATTCCAGAAGCAAAAAGGCACACAGGATATATACTCTCTCATAAGTGGATATTAGATAAATAATATAGGATACACCTACTAAAATCTGTACACCTAAAAAAAAAAACTAATCAACAAGGAAGACTCTGGCTAAATATTCAAACCCCATACAGAATGGCAGAGAGGATGGACATCAGAAGAAGGAGAAAACAGGGAACAGTACAGATTCCTGCCACACAGGGCCTCTGAAAAGCTCTACCCTGCAGCGTATAAAAGCAGATGCTGAGATTTATGGCCAACTTTTGGGCAGAGTGCAGGGAAATACATGAAAGAAGTAGGAAATGATAAGACCTGGAGAGGACAGGAGCTCCACAAGGAGAGCAACAGAACCAAAAAATCTGAGCACAAGGGTCTTTTCTGAGACTGAACTCTAACCAAGAACCATTGATGGAGATAACTTAGAACCCCTCCAAAGATGTAGCCCATGGTAGTTCAGTGTTCAAGTGGGTTCCATAGTAATGGGAACATGGGCTGTCTCTGACATGAATTGATTGGCTTGCTCTTTGTTCAACTCCCCCTGAGGGGGAGCAACCTTACCAGACTACAGAGGAAGACAGTGCAGCTACTCCTGATAAGACCTTATAAACTAGGATCAGAAGGAAGGAGAGGAAGACCTCCCTTATCAGTGAGTGGACTTGGGAAAGGGCATGTGTGGTGAAGGAGGAGGGATTGTGGGATTGGGAGGGGAGGGGGGGGAAGTCACAGGGGGATACAAAGTGAATAAAGTGTAATTAATAAAAATTAAAATAAAAAATGAAAAAAGATTTATAAATGAGAAGGTACGGGTAATAGTTTTGTTTCTAAGCCATATATCCACTTCTGCCTCTTTGTCATGGGTCACATACCACTCTGAATTTTCCCTGTCTTCTCTCAAATTGTAGAGACCCAGAAACCTCACTCTGTACTACAGAAATATGATTGTATGTTGGTAGACTCTACCTTCCAGGCTTTTATCTCATATTTATGAGTAAATTTAAATTTACTCAAATTTATGAGTAAATTTATTTATGAAGGGGAAACCGAAGCCCCTATGTAAACAATATGATAACTAATCTCATCGATGTATTCCTCCCTTGGAAAAAAATTAATCAAGGGCTTTTGGAGTAATAGATACAAGAAGCCATGGCAGTATTATAATCAAGATACAATTGTTCTTGTTTTGTGTGTGTGTTCTTATAGGTATAATATCTTCTTGATGGATTATCCCTTTTTCTTATTTATTTTTCCTATTGTGATAAACAATACAACTAAAGCAACTTTTAAGGAAAGTGTTCATTGGGCCTTTCAGAGAATTAGAATCTATGATAGTGGAATGGAGGTTGCCGACCTAGTAGTAGCTTGAGCAGTAGCTTAGTGCTCCAACTCTATGCATGTATTTAGATATGAACGTATGTATGTAGGTGTACCATGTGGGTGCCATAAAGGAAATTATAGATGGCTGAGAATTATCAAACAATTGCTTGGAATCAAAAGTGAGTCATTTAAAAGAGAAACAAATTCTTGTAACCACTGACCTGAGACTCTACCCCTAAACCTTTCTGTTATACTATTTATTCTCTTTTATCTTCTATTTTACTTCTCTCCTCTCCATATTTTACCATCCCTCCCCAATCTAGATTTCCCTTTTCTCCTCTCCATCCTATCCTTTCTTTCCTTTCTCTCACCTCCTCTTCACTTTCACCTTCTTTCTTTCCTTTCTTCTTTTCCCCTTCCCGAGTTTCTTTCTGGTGCTGTTGATCATGATATTTATTGTTTCCTCAAAAATGAAATCAAAGGTTTTTCTAGTATTATTTCTGTAGAAGTTACTTTGCATAAAAAGTTTTGATTTTGAAAAAAGAAGTCTGTCATGAGTGCATCTTGATATTTGTGGTTTGAGAGCTATAATTGGTCCTTGAAGTTTTTTATTTATTTTTATTTTTTTATTATTATTAATTACACTTTATTCATTTTGTATCCCCCCCATAAGCCCCTCCCTCCTCCCCTCCCGATTCCACCCTTCCTCCCCTTTCTGCATGCATGCCCCTCCCCAAGTCCACTGATAGGGGAGGTCTTCCTCTCCTTCTTTCTGCTCTTAGACTATCAGTTCTCATCAGAAGTGGCTGCATTATCATCTTCTGTGGCTTGGTAAGGCTGCTCCCCCCTCAGAGGGAGGTGATCAAAGAGCAGGCCAATCAGATTATGTTGACTTTTCCTCCAGTGATTGCCTAATCACTGTGATGATTTTTCTGGCTGTAGATTTGACCTGGATACTCTCACAACACAATACCCAGGCTATTTACCCTCCTATTTGATAACTACTTTGCATAGTTCCCTACAAGCCAGCCCAGCTGTCCACATTTTATAAACCAGACCTGTGTAGTGAAACTGAAGCATCAGACAGGCAGTGGCATGAAGATGGAGTCAGAGGCCCAGGTCTTCCTATTCCTGCTGCTCTGGATGTCTGGTGAGACATTAAAGAATATTAGAATATCATCAATATAATTCATTCGTAGAGAAACAGCTATTTACTATTGGAATCCAATTGTATTCAGGCAATGCCATTGTAAAAGGCATTTTATAACCTAACATTTGTATCAGGAATTTATTTTGTGTATATGTGAATACTCATTGTCTATTTCTGGTTGCAGGTGCTCAAGGGAACATTGTGATGACCCAGTCTCCTGAATTCATGTCCACGTCTGTAGGAGACAGGATTACCTTAAGTTGCAAGTCTAGTCAGAATGTAGATAAGTATGTAGCTTGGTTTCAGCAGAAATCAGGCCAGCCTCCTAAACTGCTAATCTACGATACATCCACTCGACATACTGGGGTCCCTGATCGGTTCACAGGCAGTAGATCTGGGACGGATTTTACTTTCACCATCAGCAGTGTGCAGGATGATGACCTGGCAGTTTATTATTGTCAGCAGCATAGCAGCTATCCTCCCACAGTGCTTCAGCCTCTAACAAAAACCTGCAGCACACACAGCCATTGGACTGCACACTTCCCCCTTCTGCCTGCGATTTTCTATGCATGACTAATTGATCCTGCATTCAGCAGTAAATTAATCTAGAAATAGCCTTCATCCTTTTATAGTTTTGGCAAACATAGGTATATTTATATAAAGAGTGAGAAGCTAAGTTAAGAGATCTAGAAGTTGGGGTGTTGAACCTAGAGATTACAGTACAAGCAAGACACATTAGTGAACTTTATAGTGTCATGCTGGCTTTAGGAATCTCCATGTTAAGCCTTTAGGCTACAATGAATCTATACAGAAATAGGATAAAATTTAAAATCATGTACAAATATACAGCACCATGAGATTATTAGTTTAGATTTAAGAATCCACAGCGATTTAGTATTGAACTGGGCAGTGCTTATCTTGCATTCAATTCTTTCAGAGTTGGCCAAAGATTTATAATACCAGCTGCAAGGATTAAATCCCTTTAACAACCATCAACATTCATTGAGTATTATGCTGAGAATATTTGTGCTAATTAAACTTCGAAAATATTAGGACATGTTTGCTGGTTTATGGGATCTTGGATTCTCATTGCTATTCAAATATATCTTATGAAAGATGGGGGAGATAGTAAGACCTGGAAAGGAGAGGATCTCCACAAGGAGAGCAACAGAACAAAAAATATATGCTCACAAGAGTCTTTTCTGAGACTGATACTCCAACCAAGGACCATTTATTTATATAACCTAGAACCCCTACTCAGATGTAGACCATGGTAGCTCAGTATCCAAGTGGGTATCCTAGTAATGGGAACAGGGTCTGTCTCTGATATGAACTCAGTGGCTGGTTCTTTCATCACCTCACCCAAGGGTGGAGAAGCCTTGATAGGCCACAAAGGAGGACAATGCATCCAGTCCTGATTAGACCTGAAAACCTAGGGTCATAGGGAAGGGGAGGAGGACCTCCCCTACCAACAAATAAATAAATAAACATGCTATGAACATGGTTGAAAAAAATTTTAAAAAATTAACAGGGAGCATGTTAAGAGGCAGAAAGACCTCTTCTGCCTCTCAGAAGCCCTCAAGAAAAGACAAAGAGAATATTAGTTCTCTGTTGTTGTCCAAGGTAGTCTTGGCAAGGTCCACTGTGAACATGGAGCCTGAGCATTGGAGGAGTTAAGGTTTCAGTCCTTGAGAATTGGGCTTTCTCCCCTGAAGGGCCATGGATATCAGTCCTAGGGCAACTGTGACTGAGGCATCCTGTGCTTTATTTGCCAACAGTATCTGATTTAGCTCTCTATTCACCTTGATCCATCACCTCCCTTCAAATAGTGTAGAATATGCAACACTTTGTAATAAACTTGCTTGACATAATCATCAACTTATGCAAACATTTTTATTGTCTTCTTAATTCCTCCTTCTGTTCTTCTTCCACTTGACATCTCACTGTTCCTGTCCCTTACATCTGAAGGTTCATGTCACTGTGAAATGATTTTTCTTCCTCAGTCTATTGTTGTTGTTAGGTTTTTGGAATATAGTAGTGTTGGCTGAACCTGTGGTCCTTCAGAGTTTGTAGGATATCCTTACAGGACCTTTATTTTACAGTCTTCACTGAGAAATCACATGGTATTTTAATGGTCCTTCTCTATATGTGAGTTTGTCTTGTCCCCTTGAATCCTTTAATCACCCTTCCCCCTATTACATGTTGAGTGTTTTGATTGTTATATGTTGTGGAAAACTTCTTTTCTGTTTCTGTCTACTTGGTATTTGTGTGGGTATTTTGACAGCTATCTCATTGTTCAGATTAGAGAAACATTATTCTAAGATATTGTTGAATGTATCTTCTGTGCTCTTGACCTGATTGTTTCCTCTATCCACACTATTAATAAGGTTGGTCTTTTGTTAATGTATCATGTTTCTTCCATATTTTGTGTCTGAATATTGTTGTAGACACAGTGGAATCAGATACAGTGGACACAGTGGATACAGTGGACACAGACACAGTGGAATCACAGTGGAATGAGATAGCTACTTCATCTGCCTTGTCTTCAAGACCCAAAATTCTTTCTTGCATGTCTAGTAATCTGGTGTTTTTAAAATTTAAATTTACCTTTTATGATTTATTCACTTTTCATCCCAATTGTAGCCCCCTCCCTCAAATCCATCTGGTCTCAATCTACCTACCTCTTATACCTTATTCCTATCCCATATTTTTCATAAAGGGGGAGCCCTCCTCCCCTACTATCTGACTCTAGCATATCAAGTCTCATTAGGACTGCCTGCATCTTCTTTCTCTTTGGTCTAGCAATGCACCGTATCAGGGGGAAGTGATCAAAGAACAGAGTCGATGTCAGAGACAGCTCTGATCCCCTTACTAGGTAGCCTCCATGGAATCTGTGCTACCTGTAGGCTACTTCAGGTGAGGAAGTCTATGTCCTCTTCATGTATGGTCTTTGGTTGTTCATCAGTCTCTGCTGTGCCCTCTGTGCCAGGATTTGCTCTGTCTCTCTTGTTATTGTGTTCTTGTCCATTTTGCTTCCTTCAATTCCCCCTTTCCTATGACTCTGTGAGCTCTGACCAAAGTTTGACTGTGAGTCTTAACATATGCTTTGAATCCATACTGGGTGGAGTCTTTCAGAAGACATTTATAATAAGTTCCCATCCTCTTTCCTCTTTTCAACCACTTCCAGTGTCTATTATATTTGTCCTTCTGGGTAAGAATTAAGCATCTTCCAGAGGGTCCTCATTATTTAGCTTCTTTAGGTCTGTGAATTGTTGTATGTATCCTGTATTTTTCTTTCTTTTTTGTGTTTTTTCTTTTTTCATTTTTATTTTTTTTACAATTTATTAATTTTATATATCCATATTGAAGCTCCCTCTTTAAGCTCCTCCCATTCCCACCCTTCCTCTCTCTTCTTCCTTAAATCCTTCCTCTAGTCTACTGAAAGAGGCAGTTCTCCTCCTCTACCATCTGCTCACACTTATCAAGTCTCATCAGGACTGCCTTGATCCCCTTCCTCTGTGTCATGACAATACTGCATCACCAGGGTTAATGATAAAGATCAGGTGATCTAGTTCATCACAAATGCAACACTTGCTACCCTTACTGAGGAACCCACATGGAGAATGAACTCCTCAAATCTACATCTGAGTAGAGCATCTAGCTCATCTCTATGCAGAGTCCTTTCTTGGTCCCCTGGACTCAAGTTTTTTAGCTTTGTTGGTCTCCTTGTGGAACTCCTGTCTCCTCCATGCCCTTCTCTCCCCTTTCTTCCATAAGACTCCCTGCTCTCTGCCCAAAGTTTGGCTGTGTTTCTCAGCATCTGCTTCACTCTCCTATTGGGTGGAGCCTTTCAGAGGACCCTCTATAGTAGGCTCCCATCCTGTTCCCTCTCTTCCACTGCTTCTGGTGTGTATCCTGTTTGTCATTCTGAGTGAGATTTGAGCATCCTCCTAGGGTCCTTCTTGACGTTTACCTTCTTAAGGTCTGTAGATTTTTAGTAAGGCTATCCTATATTATACAGCTAGTATCCACTTATAAGTGAGTGTTTACCATGCATGTATTTCTGTTTCTGGGTTACCTCATTCAAGCTGATCTTTTGTAGTTCTATTAATTTGCCTGGAAATTTCATGATTTCCCTGTTTTTAATGGCTCAGTAGTATTCTATTGTGTAAATATGCCACTATTTCTGTAGCCAGTCCTCCATTGAGAAATATCTAGTTTGTTTCCAAATTCTGGTTATTACAAGTAAAGCTGCCCTGAACATAGTTGAACAAATGTCCTTGTTGTATAATGGGGTATCTTTTGAGTTTATGCCCAGGAGTAATATAGGTGGATCTTGAGATAGCACTCTGTGGTTTTCCGAGAAAGCGTCAGATTGATATCCAAAGTGGTTGTTCAAGTTTACAATCCCACCAGCAAGGGGGCAGAGTTCCCCTTTCTCCACTTCTTCTCCAGCACTTGTTGTCAGTTGAGTATTTGATCTTAGCCATTCTGATAGGTGTCAGATGGAATCTCAGAGATGTTTTACTTTGCATTTCTTTGATGAGTAAGGATGTTCAACTTTTCTTTAAGTGTTTCCCCACCATTCTATATTCCTCTGTCAAGAATTCTCTTATTATTTGTCTCCCCAATTTTTTACTTGGATTATTTTGTTTGTTGGTGTCTAATTTCTTGAGTTCTTTCTTTATTCTCAATATTAGCCCTTTGTCAGATGTAAGGTTGTTTAAGTTTTATTTCATAATCCGTAGGCTGTCATTTTGTTCCATTGAGAGTTTCCTGTATTTTTTTTCAGAAAAGTTCCAGTTCCAGGAGATAACATTTATGAATTATTGATCTTAGAGCCTGAGATGTTAATGTTTTGTTCATGATAAAAGTTACAGTGCCAGTGAGTTTGAGGCTCTTCCCTGCTTTTTTTTTTTCAACAGATTTAGTGTGCCTGGTTGTATTTGGAGGTCTTTGATCCACTAGGGCTTTTTAATTGTGTGTAGGGTGATAGAAATGCTTCTAATTGCATTTTCCTATATGTCAACATCTGGTTAGACAAGCACCATTTTTTGAAGTAGCTATCCTTTTGTCATTGTATGGTTTTGGTATTTTTGTCAAAAATCAGTTGTCCATAGGTGTTTGGGTTTATTTCTGGGTTTTTGATTTGATTCCATGGATCCACCAGTCAATTTCTATGCCAATACCATTTAGTTTTTATTACTGTTGCTCTATAGTACAGTTTGAGATCAGGAATGGAGAAATATCCAGAAGATCTTTTATTGTAGAGGATTGTTTTAGTTATTCTTGTTTGTGTTTTTTCATATGAAATTTCAGAATTTTTTTTTCAAGGTATGGAAAGAATTGTGTTGATAATTTGATGGGAAATGTATTGCTTTTGGTAAGATGACTATTTTTACGATTTAAATCCTACGCATCTGTGAACATGGGAGATCTTTTCATCTTCTGATATCTTCTTCAGTTTCTTTATTCTTAGACTTGAAATTGTTTTCATTCATGTCTCTCAGTTGCTTGGTTAGAGTTACACTAAGATCCTTTATGTTTTTTGTGGCTATTGTGACGAGTGTTGT